GAAGCTTTACTTTAAATATACCTGTGTTATGGTAGCAAAAGGTTTGCATTCACTGTAGGTTATTGTTTTTATATAGATATATATGAGTTCTGACTGCTACAGTAAAACACACTGTGATGTTAGTGATTATTAGGACTGACACTGCTGCTCCAGTCGAAGTAGCACATAAAAACAGATATAGCTCTGTTTTAATCTTTGGGGTTGATGAATGGTTGTCTTCAGTTTTAGGTAGAATGGTCTATACTGTACATTTAATGTTTGTTTTTTTACTCGTCAATGCATAAAGTGTCACTTTACAAGAAAAGTGAGAAACCCATACTGTAAGGAGTTCTTTGTTCTTAATTTTTGGTTTTAATCAACACGTGTAGTTCTTATTTCTTTATCTCACAATGTGCTATGTCTCACATTTTCTTTACTCACACACAATATGCAGCATGAGGTGCATATACTGTATATGACTGTGTATGTACGTAAGCCTTGTTTCTCTTACAACCCCTGAAATGAACAAATTTTAAATAAATACAAAAACTTAAAATCTGACCTACTGCATTTGTCAACCAAAAAAAAAGTAGACAGAGCATCACCGCAAAACAACCCAAGGCAACATTAGAACTAGTTTTAGTTTTTGTTCAGCTGAATCTTCACTGTGTCCTGTAAGATTTACTGTAAATGAAATTTTTTATGAATTATTTATTTTAGAGAAATATTAATGATCGTTTGTCATCATTTGAAGTCAGAGTAAGATGCTGCAATTATTTACTCGGAGACTGTATTTACATAATCGTGCGGCAAACGCAATGTTTTATACTGTAATCCCTACAGTGACTACAGTAGGTGACATTGTTCTTGCACTGTCCTCAACTGCATGCACAGAAATCTAATGGAGTACCGTATATAACGTAAACATGGCGTACTATACATACCAGGGCGAGAGAGTGAAAGAGTAGTTACAGGAAAAGAGAAACAAAAGGAGGAAGAAACTGCCCTTGATAGTGTGACTTAATATTTGTGCTGTCCGTACATAGATACAAATATCGCCACGTCATCAGGGTATAGTACAAAAATGCTGATCTTAGACTGTGGGGTTGTTACAATACTGAAATTTAAGTACTTGATACCGATACCCGAATTTCCACAAAAATTTTCCAAGAATAGACACGGCTCGCCAAGAGAAATGTTAAATACTGTCTGGTGACGGTACCCAAGTGTTGGCATCAACTCGGTACTGAAGTATCGATTCTTGTGACAACCCTACTCGCGTGTGTACATCTGTAAAGTCCCATGGCATTAAGGCCGTGCCTCTGAGTCATCATCTGTGACAGTTGTCAATCAGAGCTACGTGAGGTGAAATTCCACTCCAGTTGGCCTGGGGACACTCAGGCAGAATAAATTGGGATTTCGAAAAGTTTTAGTTTACCAAAAGACAGAGAGCAGACAGAGGAGGTCGATGACCAGACAGACAGGAGTCTAATTATGTGAAATTTGGTGTGAGGTCAAAGGCTGTCTCGCTTTCTGACCTGCACGGACTGAAAACACATCGATGCGTAAACAAGAAGAACCAAACAGATATAGCACCAGAAAGACTGTAACCAAGGCAACTAAAGACAGACAACCGAGGTCAACAGACGCCCATGAAAGACAGCTGCTACAGTATGTGTACTCCTATTGTTTTTGTGGTCTGATCAACAACACTAAAATCAGCGTTCTTTTTCTCTAAGCTGGCTTCGTGTCATCATTTGTCCTATCTTTTTTCTCCTCTTAAAAAATAACGAGACCTTGCGCCATGCTTCTCAGACTGGCTCTAGAGGTCGTATCTTGACTGAAAAAATAAATTGGGTATTTAACTCACTGGAGAGAAATAAAGGTAAAAAGAAGTTAGAAGAGACTATGTGAAGGAAAGAAATGTGTGAGAAGATTGTGGAGAAGACTGAGGAAAAGTTGTAAGACACAGTATGGGTGTGGAGTAAATGGACAGCACACTGAGCCAGAGAAGCAGGCAGTCTAATTATCAGCTCCAAAACTTTGAGAAAGCAGCAAAGTTGAACTTTGTATGTGTCTGCCCGTGTACATGTGTGTTCGAGTGTGTGTGAGGATAAGATTTTTCTTTTTTTTTTACAGACAAAAGGAATGAAAACTATGAAAAGTAATTATGTTTTGTAGCAACATATCTCTCTGGCAACATAACACCAGTGGTAACACTGCTGCTGAAATAACTGACCTTCAAGGGTTAGGGTTTACTGCTGCTGAAATAACTGACCTTCAAGGAAAGGTCAGTTATTTCATGTTCTTTCTTAAATCATCATGAATTAAAATGTTGCAGTTGTTTAAAAAAACATTGTATTTTGTTGCCTTTTCATCCTGTTTTGTCAAAAAGTATGTATTTTTCATTGTGAATTACCATTTTAAACTCTCACTTGAATATATTGTCCATATCACAACTAGCCACATTGAACTTGTTAGTAATGCATTTGACTTTTTCTACCAGTATGCGTTAAGACATGCTAATTGAAGGGTTAAAGATATGTGTGATTTCAGTAACTGCAGGATGCCTAAAGCCATCAAATTACCCAGTATTTCCAGAGTATGAACATAAATGTATGCAAATTTAAGCAGCTGCCCTGGCAGGGTTATCATTTTATAACCCCATGAATTTTTAAATAGATGCCATTCAATAGAATCTCTAACTGGGAGACAGTTAACTAACTTGAAGAGAAGCAGTAATAACATTCATGGCCATCAGAAACTGCTGGTAATATGCTAAAGCGTTGGTAATAACCCAATTACCTCATGGCATAGCATTAGTTACCTTATAACTATTGGCTGCTCCTTCAGCTACTTCACATCAGGGACTATTCATGTTGATGCCCATTTTTACTTTATTATTTATTTTTACTTTACATTATTTATTTGTGCTTCATCCACAACCACAACAACATTCGTCTTTTCACATTTACTGAACCTCAAACTGTTTTTTACAACAGACTGATCTATACTCACTAAAGAGTCTCCATATGTTAATGCTTTTTTTTATTTGCAGTTTATTTTCTTCATTTTCTTCTGTAGATGGGGGTATTCCTCATTGAAAGGCCGACACATTAAATCTAAATCTGTCTTCTGAGAACTCCCTCCTCCCTCCCTCCCTCTCTCTCTCTCTCTCTCTCTCTCTCTCTCTCCTTCCTTCTCGTACTCTCTGTACGACTGTCTACCTCTTTGACCATGACCTGGATAGGATCTCTACAGACCAAACCATCTCACTGAACTAGATACAGTCAAACACACGCTGATACAAAGCAACACGGGCTCCTTTGTTTTCTGTATCAAACATCCCAGGTTCAACCAGACACATTTTTTCACATCAAAGGCAAACATACACTTTCAGAACAACATAGAAGCTGTTTGTATTGGTCCAATATTTCAAGTCTAACAAACTTCAAAAACAAAGTTAAAAAAATTCAGGCTTCTAAAAACCAATATTAATTTTCCAACACTGCAATCAATAATGAAGTGACCAAACCCAGTGCAACGACGTGCGACAATAAGGTAAACATCTCCAAGACATTAAAAAATATATTTTTTATTTACTCGCATCCTCCTTTTCCTCTTCCTCCTCCTCCTGCCCTTGTCTCAACTCACACACACACCCAAACTGATGGGTAGCCTCAGCAGCTAGCATTAGCTCTGTGTTTCTCTAAGCGGGATGTCCTAGTTCTTCCTGACTCAGTTCACACAGAGAGACAAACACGCAACATCTGTGTTAATGAATAACTCATTTGAATGCCTTTGCTGTACTGTCAACCAGACTTGTATGTTATATATTATATTATATATATTATATATTATTACATATTATATATATTATTATTATATATTATATATATTATTATTATATATTATATATATTATATATTATTACATATTATATATATTATTATTATATATTATATATATTATATATTATTACATATTATATATATTATTATTAATATTATGATTCAATCTAATATACAGTAGCAGCTTCTAAAGGTGCAGATACAAATAGATAAAGTGTCGACAAGCTTAAGCCAAAAGTGGAAAGTTTCAGGCCTGTTCTACGTCTGTACCCAAAATACAGACTTCCCATTCCGCTGAAAAACTTCATTCAGTATTAACATTCACATCTGTCTTTCTCGTGCATTATGTTTGTGCAGTGGCCTTTGGATAACGTTATCAACAGGGTGCCTTCGACTGTGTTTGAATCAGCCCAGTGGAGGTCCAGTACTTCTGTCCTCCGCCTCAACACATTCAGATCTACTCAGAATGTATTCTCCTCTGCTGTGCTTGACTTGCAATAGTCTTGCGGCCCTTATTAGGGCCCGTCCCCTTACTTTTAAAATCACTGACCTAAAGAAGTTTATTATCTGCACCTACTCTGTCTGTCTGTTCATGCGTGTGTGTGTGTCCTTGAATGCACGTTTTATCACCTGCATTTTAAAATAACTCCACAGCTGTGCAACCTTGAGACTAAGGCCAGTGGGTACACCCATTACCCTGAACCCAGTAGTTCTGAGGCTGCGTGTGTGGTGCATGTGTGGACCTTGACATTTGCCAGCGACCTGCTCTACCTGTCCGTCAGATCCATCTCAATTCATATTCTCCCCGCAGCAGTACAGTGTGTTGTTGGGAGTCAGGGCATTGGACTCACTGGTGTAAATGTGTGAGTGTGCTGCTGGTGCAAAGACACACACAGAGACCATGGTCCTGTAACCTACGTAGCAGAACCACCTGCGGTGTGTGAACAACAGAGGGAGAGAGGTCAATAGTAATTTCCTCAGACAGTGTATAAATCTATACCAACCCGAGGAAAAGAAATCCAAAACCCGATTACCGAGCTGCACTTTGGCCTAATAAACACACAATAAGTCTTACCAATGCACAAAAGCAAACAACACACTCAGTGCCAGAGGTGAAGTGAGACAAATGAGACAAATACATCAGTTCATCGGAAGGATTTTAGTTTTTAGTTTTTTTTTTCCCAGCGTAGCTTTGTCTCACTGATTGCCAGCACACGGTGCTGTCATCCGAAATCACTTGAACCCCCTGCTGTTTGTAACCGCCGAGTAAAGAGACAGAAAAAAAAGTTGCCACCGCTATGTCATTGTGCACACGTGTGCACGCAGACACATTTCTTTGTGCTTTTGGCTGCCATTGAACGAGCGAGCAGCAAGCAACCCTGTCTTCCCTCCTAAGTGACGGTTGTCAGCGGTGTCTTCAATAAGGGAGCCATTATGTGAGCTTTACAGGACCAAAAAGGTCAACACAATCACTTCCCTTAGACGGAGTGGGAGTGAGCAACCTGAAAATAGATCATGACTGGTGATGTTAAAGGGTGGATTTGCGGTGTAATTGGTTCACTGCTCAATCTAAGGACGTCTGACGACAGATTTGAGTCAACGTTTCATTGGGGGAGAAAACAATACAGCAGTTCCCCGAGATACGAACATCCGAGTTATGAACATTCGTAGATACAAACAGCCACTGACTGATGTCCATAAATTTTCGTAAAATGTCGTATTGGGTTCGCAAGTTCGCATTTTGAACCGCGCGCCACATCCGACTAGTTCCCCTTTCTGCCACAACACACGCCGAGCAGCACCGCTCCATACACCAGTTCATTTCGCCCAGTTCGTTCCTGCACGTGTCTCTGTGAGCATCTCAGCATGTTAGGCTTCGTTAGGCTTCGTTAGGCTTCGTTAGGCTTCGTTAGGCTAGGCCCTTGGATACTTTACCATTTCTGTAAGTTAACCTGACAACAACTCTACCTCTCACCAACAATAACTTTTCACCGTCTACTGTAAGTTACATTGTGGTACTGCAGTAATTTTTTCATTTCTTTTTATTATATACTGTAAAATCATGTTTATGTGTTGTTTTTATGTCCTGTAATTGTTTCTGGTAAGTCTTAGGGAATAGTACATTTTTATTTAGAGTAGTAATTGCATTTAAATTACCTCAAACGGCAATTATAGATTAAAATGTATAAAGACTTACGAACAATTAAGCTTACGAACAGCCCCTCAGAGTTGAAGTTAGTTGAATCCATTACGGTAATCAATAAATTCAGTGAGGTTATTGATCTGCTGTGTTTACAAAATCTTCTTCAATAAATTCAGCAGCAGCCCAGTTTCAGAAATACTATGTTTACTCTTTAGGTAACTGTTATCACGCTATAAATGTGTTACCAATTAAATGATAAGATTTATTGCTCAGATATAGAACATATTAACCTAAATTAAATGATAAGATTTATTGCTCAGATACAGAACATATTAACCTATATTTATTCCTCTTCCCTGTACTTTCCCGCAAGTACTTAAGATTTATAAAAGCTGATAGTACAGCACTAATGTGGAAGAAGACAAAGTTCAAGGAAGGAAGTCTGAGTCCATACTTGACTTAGACAGACCAGGACCTAAGAAGGATAGAGTCGCCATGGTTTTCTACTAATGGGTTACCACTTTTTAAATAAATCTGACTGTGCTAAAACGGAAATAAAGAAAACTGTCTTCCTTTGCTAATCAATACACAGAAATTCTGAAAAATATTGAGAGTTCTCTTCCTTGAAACACATTCAATCCAGTGGATATTAAGCATCGTCTGTGTCTCTGTTTTTTAGATTGTTTATGACAGTGCAACTGTGTGAGTCACGGGTTAGATCATTATCTGGACAAATTCTTCTGGTCAACAAAGAAATGTTGAAATACCACGTAAATGACACAGGCACCACAATCGGTGTGCACAATCATACAGTACAAATATACAACTAGGTACACAGTGTATAGTGCAGTTAAAAGCTTTGGTAGTGGTTGGGTAATTTTTTTGTTCCTTTTTAGGTACTTTAAAAAAATTCAGAACAGAAAAAATAATGTGTTCAAGAATATCATATTCAAATGTTAATTATGTTCATTTCTGCCACACTTTTCCAGCTATAAAGAGTTGAGTGACCTGACAGCACACCTAGGTTTACCATAGTTAACAGTCATGACAAATGAGATTGTAATTCTTGACTGTTTGGGTGGAAAGTTTTTATTTTATTTTTTTATTATTATTATTTGCGGCTTAGATATGAGCAATGATGTCAGCTAACCTTAACTATGACACTCCAGATACAGGCAGACAGTGAAGCACATCCGGTGTTTATATCTGTAATAGCTTCAATTAGTGAGTTTTATTAGTTGTTTGTACTAATCTAATGATACCGTTGACAGACAACAAAAATACAACACTGATAACTGTAGATGAAAAAAACTGATTACGTAAGTTCTCATGCATCTCGATTTATTGATTCAGTTTTTCACTAAAGTCAAATTTGATAAACTTTTATTATTACTTTTGAGTAAAGCAGTATGTATTGATATCCTTATATAGTAATTTTGATTATTATTGTGAAGTTCAAGTGCAGACAATATTTCGATTGTCCGCGTGAGTCAAGGCAGAGCAAATGCAGCAGGAGATCAAATCCAAACAGTCCTTTGGTCATTCTGTGTTAAACAGTATTGTAACACCAACAACTAGGAGTAAATACCAGTAGTATGAGATACCACTGCTACCATTCACTGCTTTACAGCTCTGAACTGTCAGAATGTGCTCGCCGTCGTGCATTCACCACCAGGCTGCCAAATGAGTCCATTCAGAATTAGACAAAGCGTAGGGTGTTTTTGGAGCTGGAGTAAAATGGACCAATTTGAACCAATGATGAGCATACGATTGCTTCATCTGCCCACTGCCAGTTGATTCAAATCGTATAGTCTGTTTGAAAATTTTAAAAAAAGATTATCCAGGAAAGAAATTTGTCCTTAATAAATACAACCTACAAATTTCACAACATCAGCTAAAATATGTAGGACTGAACAAATTCAGTCATGTATCAAATCAGGCCTGTTTGATGTATTTGAAACCTTCTTAAATAAGGACATAACAAATTTTCTGTGGGTAAAAACTGCAGGAACTTAAACGTAAATTATGGACATTGATGTCTTGGGGCCTGGGGAGGGCTGAGAGTTTCTGTCAATAGTTTCAATGTTTGCCGACAGTGTTGCAATGCATCACAAGACAGTGAGTGATGAGTGGGAGACAGAGGAGAAAAATGTGTCAAGCATTTGGAAAAACACTGGGGGGAAAAACACTGGATCCAATTCAAAAAAACAGTCCAGCTCTCATCTCTCCCATGTCAACGTCTTTGTGTGTTACTTCAGACGCTTCTCACAGGCTGGGAAAATGAAAACAAACAACACAAACCATATACACACCAATGCCTTTGTGGTTACACAATGGGGCTGCTTGTGTCTTAGACAGTGATTTTGGTACTTTTACCTATACATGTAACAAAAGACAAGTTAAGAGGTGACTGCTCGGCAAAAGAGCATGTTCATAGCTGTCTATGGTGAGGTTCATAAAGATTAAAATGTATTAGTTAATAATTATACAAAGCCATGCAGAACATTTTTATGTCAATAAAATAGTATATGATTGAATAAAAAACGTTGTCTCTTCAGGGCAGTTTCTGATAAACAAAATCTTTAATTAACTTCATTAACTGTGTAACTGTAAATGTTGTTTACACACAGTTTTAATTGCTATTTTAACTTTGTCTATGTCCTCAATTATAAACAAAATAATAGTTTTTTCTCGGTTTGACGTGTGATCCCAGGACAGACCACTTTCTTGTGAATGGGCACAGATCTAAAAACGGAAAAAGCCCAGCTGAATAAATTGAGTTAATAACCCCCTTTGGGGTGCTAATTATCTGTGATAGTAACTTTGTCGTTTTGTTGTGCCAGCTCTAACAAGGGGAGTCTCGTTTGTGGACTGAGCTCCATAGTGTTCACCCCAACAAGTCAAGACAAAGGATCTGAATTACAAATGGCTAAAAATGTTTTACTATTGATAAGCAATATAAGGAGATAAAGTGAAAACTCAGTGCTGCACTTAAATCATTATGCTGATGATGCAGCTATCTCATGAGCCAACATTTTCTACCAAGGAATGTATTTAATTACTGATCAATTTATCAATCTATCAGAATGAAATAATTTTTTGAAAAGTAAATTTAAAAAAAAAAATTAAATCGCTGCATACAGTTTTTTTTTTGGGTTTTTCAGGATAGCGCAGCATAAAAGTATACCAGGTAACAAGAAAAAAAGAAGAAAAAAAACACTTCCCAAAATGCAACTCTAAATCAATACCTAGCGCTGCCGACATGCTTTACAGAAGGGTTTAACCAATCATTGATGCAATTTCCTCCTGACCTCCTCCGGACATATTGACGTCTACTTCAAACAAACATTTCTTTGGTCTCATCCCACTGAGAAAAAAAAATCTTTTGACTCATTAATCCTTAGTCTACTGCTTGTGCAAATATGTCCTTCTTCCTAAGGGTTCAGGCTTCTGCGCATGATAACCATTGAAAAACAACTAGTAGAAAATAGACATTAGCTAACATCTGGGCTGCCGGGTTTAACTGTGACTCATGTTGTAAATTTATTTAAGGCAAACTTTTTACCAGCACATGGCACCTTGTAGCTTAAATGAGATTTAGAAATATTGGAACAGTGGCTGTGTGTGCGTGTGTGTGTCTTCGATCAATAACTGTAATGGAATATTTGGTGTTGAGGCCATTCAACACCACGTCCCCAGGCTCAGACATGTAGGTGGTAGCACTAAAATGCATCAGGGAGTAATTTGTTCCTCGAAGACTAACTGCTGCTTGGGTATACTGCCATTCATATAGGTAGCCTGACAGTACAGGGCATGTGTGAGCATACTTTTGTCCCTTTTGTTTGGCACAGTGGGCTGAGCTGGTAGTGTATTGATCCAGGCCAATACCACAGAGTCCACCATCAATCAGAGAAATGTCCCTGCTGCTTACTGCTGGGTCCCGGCCGAGCTCTGACTTCATAGCGCCAGAGCATTATCAGAATTAGCAGGAGATGCTGACTGTCAATATTTTTGTAACGATTATGTCACCCTTTATTACAGAGCAGTTTCACAAAAGGGATGGAGAGCATCTCTGTCCTTTTTTCTTCTGTTACAGGAAAAAAAACGTCTCAACGCCGTAATGATTTTTAACCACAGAACAGTCTGAACATTTAAAAGTTGTTCTATGTTCTATAGTTGTGTTACAGTTCTTTGGCTGTGATTTACAGTAACAGTCAGAGGCTACATATTAAGCCACTGTGAGGCTATTGTGTCCTTGGTTAATTTTCTCACTCTTACACCCCCCTACACACAGAGGGGAGACCTATAAAAAAAAGTAGTAACCATGGTAATGTTGCACACTGCCCATAGTGTCTACTAAGTACATATAGGGTTGTCATGAAAATGGAAATTCATTTTCGTACTGATACCCAGGAAACCACTCTGTACTTGAGGAGCAGAAGAGATGCAGAAAATATAAAATAAATATATTCTCTTCTCCATTTGACACAGGAATAAAATAATAAACAAAAAAACCCCAAATGAATACTTATTGATGTTTAACTGTTTATTTTAGCAGTATCAACTATTTTGCAACTGCACACAACATGAGATTAAATTACATATGGATATGGAAGGAGGGTTAGCAGTGTGTGCGTTGTTGCCAGTTGACTTCTGTTCAATCTGACATAGAAACCTACTTTAGAACAAAACTAGTTTTATTGTGGTAAAAAATCCACAACAAACTTTACAGACATAAAGGAATAGAGTCATTGGCTGCGTTGGGACACTGCTGCCAATGTTTAATATTCATGACAGCTTCAGGACAGCAAGTTTGCTTAGCACCACCAAGCATTAGCACTGTTTGCCCAAATAGGCTTTGAGGAAATGAGAGTTTAAGGAGTGGTGGTTTGGATTTTTGGCCAACCAAAAAATGATGTTTAACCTGCATCACTACAAACCTATGGACACTGGGGCATTACATTAAATGTCAAATGTTAAAATCCCAAATTAATATTGAATGGTAACAGATTTTTTTTTTTTTTTTACTAATCACAGGATCTATCTCGGGCTGAAAGTGAAAGGGAAACCTCCAAAACACACTTGCCCTGGGGTCTGCAAGCTGTGTGACTCACACATTCGCAAACTCCACTGAACATGTTCATATACCACCATTATATAAAGCTCACTCTCTGTTACTAAGGAAATGCCTCTGAAAGGCAGTAACCAACATATCTGAAAGGCTGCTCCAGGAGACGAAAGAGACTATTTCTGTTCACTTTCTGGAGACAAACAGAACAGCGGGGACTTCACAAAACAAACTTCTGAAATGTCCCCGAAACCAAAATAAGAGGAAAAAAAAGGCTCTGCCAACATATGATGATGTCAGTAAAACCTAGCTAAAACTCAACATTAACGCCCGTTCAAAGCGAGTATTTTCGGCCAAGAGCGATGACGATAACAAGTCTGTGTTGAAAAGAACACTAACACTGTGACAAAAATAAGGAGTCATTCTTCTAAGTATCTCTTTAGCCCAGGGGTCTCAAATTAAAACTAGTCGAGGACCACTGCTGCCACCTTCATTTCAATAGAGAGCCACATCAGTGTTGGGTGTTCGAAAGCCATCCACGCAGATGGATGGGGGAAAAAAGTAGAAGCTAAAAATGTATCTGAACCACTAATATTGTTTAACATTTGATCTAAACAGTGGACTTCATCATCTGCAAACATGGCAACTTGTGTTTATATTATATTGTAAACCATAATGAATAAAGCAAATATTTAGAGAATTAGGTTCACCATTAATCGGAATGAACATTTCCCAACATGCACACAATAATGTTTAAGAAACAAATGTGTATTTGTTATTTAATATTTACATTATTCATGACAGAAATGCAGCCTCTCTCTTCCTTCTTTCCACCTCAGTGTACAGTCTAACCCTGGTGGAGAAAGGGAAATCCCCCTCAAAGAGAGCTAAATACACTCAAGCCTTGTCTTCCTCCCTCCCTGTCCGTTTCCATCATGTCACACTTGCTAGCACTCAAACACCACGTTGGCTTTTTCTTGCCCTTTTTACACATTTCATGCAATACTGGAAGAACGATGGTACATTTGAGAATGAGAGCTACAACAACAGAACCAATAATAATATCACCACTATGAGACGCTGCACTGACATTTATGCTTGGACATCAAAATATCATTTTCTTTTTGTTTACATTCATTAAAGTGGAGTTCTCAAATGTACATATATAGACGAATCATCTTGACGTAACAATCAGAGATGTGGATCTCTATATGAGAAATGTCACCAATAAATACCATGTGGGCAGGCCAAGTGACCCACAACCTAAAAAAAATATCACGAAATCTTATTATCAGGCTATGGAAAAAGTATTTAATTTCCAGAGTTGTAACTACAGTAAGTACAGCAAATGCTCCTTCTGTGAGCTGAGTCTAACCCTATACTTAACACACATTTCTTCGTTGGGTTCAAACAGCAGTTATGACACCTTGGAGTGACATTACTGCCACCTACAGACACCAAATGTAAATATTTATTATTTATCTTTTTTGTGGCTTTATCCCTTTCAGAAGTAGCAGTCCTATGAAGGCGGGGTACACGATAGGGTTACGTATAGAGGCAAACAACCTTTCACACTCACATTCACACCTATGGTCAATTAACAGAGAATCATCACCATAATCTTTCATGTGTTTGGACTAAGAGACAAAATCTAAATCTGGTTAAGAACGTGCTGAGAACAAACATACAGTATACTGGATGAATACACATAATCACAGGCACGGGATTGATCTGGTGATCTTCTTTGCTGTAAGGCAACAGCACAAACCACTAAACAACAGTGAGACCTTTAGTAAATATAAATCTAGAAACTTCCTGCGAATAAATACAAAAACAGAGGAAAATGGGAGACAAAAATCTAGAAACTTCCTGCGAATAAATAAATAATAAATAGAAAAACAGAGGAAAATGGGAGACAGCAAGACACCATACACTTTTAGTTACCTGATAATCATGACTGTGAGTCTGGGAAATATTTATGAGAAATTATTGTGTTTTTATGTTGAAGTAAAAGAAAAGAAAAATTACAAAAAAGAAACGATCGGCAAAACTGTTTCGTTCCCCCCGGTGACCGATACCCGATGCTGAACGCATTCTTTAGTGACACCATAAGTCACAAATTACAAAAACCCCGGTGACCGATACCCGATGCTGAACACATTCTTCAGTAACACCATAAGTCACAAATTACAAAAAAATATATAAATATTACGTGTAATTTTTGTTACTATCGCTTTCAAATATCTAAATATTTTAAGATAGTTAAATAAAGCTGACGTTAACTGTCAGAATGTGACGACTTTTCTTTCGGAGTGTTTTGAACGAACGTGACATGTTCACGTCGAAAGTCAACAGAAAACTTAACGACTGGCAGTTAGCTCCGGGAGATTCCACGAGCTCACTAGTCTGAGTGTTATTTTGTGGGTTTGTCAAAAAAAAAAAACTAAATTAATAAATTAATAATAAAGGTGACAGAGAGTCTCGGTCTTACCTGCAGGACACCGTGATTTCAACTTTGGTGGCAGGAATAGACGCGTTGAGCGGGTCGAACTCGCCTATCGACGCCATGTTTAGGTAACTGTTGTTCATCCTGTCAAAACACTGGGTAAAAAAAAAAGATGTGTTTGTCTTTTTCCTTTTCCTCCCGTGTGCAGTCCAACGGGTTTAATATGAGCCGCGGAGCAGGAGGAGTAGGAAGAGGAAGAGGAGGAGGAGTGTGTGTGTGAGAGAGAGAGAGATCCTGCCTCCTCGACGAGAAGTGGAGCAAAGGTGCCAGAGAGAGAGCGGAGAGAGAGAGGGAGAGAGCGGGAAAGGGGCACCGGGGAATGTGATGTCACTTTGTCTTCCTCCTGTTTGTGGATTATTCATTTCTCTTTTCACTCATTTCACCCTCTGTCTCTGTCCCCGTCTCACTTTGTGTCCGTGTCCATTTCACCTGTCTCCCCCCTTCCTTCCTCTTCATCCTCAGTCTAGTGTGTGTGTTCTCTCTCTCTCTCTTTCTCTCTCTCTCTCTCTCTCTCTCTGTGTGTGTGTCTTTCTCTGACCCTTTACATCTGTTTTTCCTTCCATTTTTCTCTCCATCTTCCTTCTGCTTCACTGAACCCAACCAGACTTTTTTTTGCCAACATGTGACCCATATCTGATTTTTTTTTGTGCCAGCATGAATGGCATAAATCCAACATTTTCAAACCAAACAAACACTGCTTTTATATGTGGCCCATATGTGGCCCATATGTGGTCCATATGTGGTCCATGAGACTACATTAGGTCTAAATGACTAACATTTTGCTCGGTTGTTTACCTTGTAATTGAAATGTGACCCACATCAGACCCCACTGTGGGCAGTCTACGGCCCTGGGAGTGGTCCACATGGGCTGTACAAGGCTTGACGTGACTTAAAAATGGAGGCTACACATCCGTTTTTGTTATGAATAGTTTATAAATGCAATCATTCTGAAAGAAAAAAATGGCCCAAATCTAAATGCAATCATTCTGAAAGAAAAAAAATGGCCCAAATCTGATTTTTCTTTTTTTTTTCAACATGTGACCCATATCTGAGGCCACCGTCATTTGAGGTCTTCGGCGTGGTAACGTAGTTAAGACTATGGGACTCACTGCTGGTCCGTTTGCTTAATTTCTTGCTGAGACCAGATGTGTTTACGTGAGTAAAAATGCAGAGGCTGGACATCCATATGTGTGTTGTACAGTCTGAAAGCGGTTGCTCTCCAAACACGACTTTTTTGGCGATTGATGCGAGACTGACCTGATCTCCGCAGTATGATCCAGATCAAGTACGTACAGGCAACGTTGATGGAGCTGCCCTCATTGGACTTCTGTCCCTGGAGCTCTGCACTTAGGGGGAACAAAGGTCCGAGAGTCACCTTCGATGCCCCCAATCCTGTGGATAGTGGAGGACCTTCCAATCAATGCCAATCCAATCAAATTGATGGAGGAAAATTGCCCAACCACTTCAGACCTGAGAAACGCACTCTGACCTTTGATCTTTGCAGCGTCCACATCTGCAAATACAGCGTGGGGCACGTGGTGTCACATGTTCTTCTGGGCATCTGGGTCACTTCTGTAGACTGTCCACATGGACGTCTGATGACATCATTATTAGTACCGTATTTTCTGGACTATAAGTCGCACTTTTTTTTTCCTTCTTTGGGCTGGGTTTGCGGCTTATTCTCAGATGCCAATCATGTATTAAAATATATAACTTCATGTGTTTGTTATTTTCAGACTGACAGCCGCTAGAGGGCACTCTAGGCTTGCGGCGTACCAGTATCTGCAACTCTTGTAAGTGATATTTTTCTTTTTAGCTGGAGCGATTTATATTTGCTTTTTTCTTCTTCATTCTGCATTTTCGGCTGGTGCGACTTATACTCTGGAGTGACCTATAGTCCGGAAAATATGGTAGCAAAAAATGTAATTGGTCCATGGGTCATGCGGGGGGGCTTCATCAGAACTGGTTTCCATGTTTGCTCCACTCCATGTTTCTGTTTCAGTTTTAGTACATCTGTTTGTTTCTCACCACCATTGTCCAACCTGTCTGTCTGCTTGTCTGTCTCTCTTCATCTACCCGTACATTCCAGTCTCTGTCTCTCTCTCTGTCCATGCAGCTCAAACCCTCTCTCGGTTTCTCTCTCTCTCTCTCTCTCTCTCTCTCTCTTTTGACTTCTGCTCAGCTGATTTCTGCTCGGCTCATTCAAACCCGCTGCTTCAGATTTCCTGATATGGAAGTGTTGACAATGACACAATCGTTACCAAAATGGCATGAATCTGCACCGAGAAGTCGCGTTGGTGTGTGCCCCTGTGCGTATGTGTGCGCACGTGCACGCCTGCCTGTGTGTGTCAGTCCACATTTCCTCTTTCTTGAATACCCTCATTCAGACCAGTTCAGTGGAATTCAGTTCTCGTCAGTGGGAGTTACTGGCAGGGAACATTCACCGTTGCCTCCCTTGCATGGCTGCAGTAAGTTGTCAGGAGGCCCTGGGGCAAAAAAAATGTTCGGGCCCCTGGGGGTTTATCTTGGGTCATAAATTATGGACACGTCAAGTGTTGTTTTCGAGCATGGAAATGACCTGTTTTACAGTCGGTGGTTGCAGACTCTGACGGTATTATCACAAGGACAGCCACTGATTTGCTCCAGTGTTCTGTTTGACCTACTTCTAGATCTAACTCTATGATTTTGATACCCTTCAAAATAAAACAGAGTGGAAGCTCTACGGCCAGCCAAATATGAATGATTGTGACCGAGGTTGTCCTTCCAATGAAATATTACAAATTCATATTCAAATAAACCGTATGTCTATGTGTATATTTATTAATTTAAATATACGTATATATATATATATATATATATATAGACATATATATACATATATAGACATATATATACATATATATATGTATAAGGGATGTCCAATATTAACTTTTTGTCAAAATCCAATATGCCGATATCGTCCAAACACTTTGTATCCAATTCCGATATCCACCAATATCGATATATTCAGCCGTTTTTCCTTAAAACTGCGATAAACGTCTCAGGACCCCACAAGCGATTCAAGCATATTTCGCGAAACACAGGTATTGCGTAATCAGATTTTTATTATCGGACAAAAAACAATAACGATTCTGACAGATATTACAAAATTATGGTAATATCTGCCAGTAATATCGCTCAGCTGATATTACAAAAAACCCCTATATATATATATATACTGTATATGTTTATATATATAAAACAATTATATGCATGCATATTTATACATATTTAAATATATCTGTATATATCTGTTTGATTATATACACTGTATATACATATGTTATTTGATCAAACTATTTCTAACAGAAAAACATACGTTATATAAACAAAATATAAAGGAAGAACCATTTGTTGGATGGCAACAACACCAGGACAGATATAAAGGTACGAGGGTCACAGTACGAGTACATGGACGTATTCTACTTAAAAAAAAAAACCTACAGGTGAGGAGCATTATTAGATTTTCTATAGGTTTCATTCGTGTGTGTGTGTGTGTGTGTGTACAGTTAGATAATAGGTTGTCACATGATTTTAAGAGGAAGGAAGTGGGGAGACAGGTGCACACCTGCCTGTGTGTGTCAGTCCACATTTCCTCTTTCTTGAATACCCTCATTCAGACCAGTTCAGTGGAATTCAGTTCTCGTCAGTGGGAGTTACTGGCAGGGAACGTTCACCGTTGCCTGTCCTTTTTACCTACTTCTAGATCTAACTCTATGATTTTGATACCCTTCAAAATAAAACAGAGTGGAAGCTCTACGGCCAGCCAAATATGAATGATTGTGACCGAGGTTGTCCTTCCAATGAAATATTACAAATTCATATTCAAATAAACCGTATGTCTATGTGTATATTTATTAATTTAAATATACGTATATATATATATATATATACATGGACGTATTCTACTTAAAAAAAAAACCTACAGGTGAGGAGCATTATTAGATTTTCTATAGGTTTCATTCGTGTGTGTGTGTGTGTGTGTGTGTGTGTGTACAGTTAGATAATAGGTTGTTACATGATTTTAAATGACGTATCCCTCTATTACTCAGGGTGTCCAGTGTTTACCAGCCCACTTCTTCTCTAAATATAGCATCCTTACACCACGCCACACAAATACACGCACACTCACTCACTCACACACACACACACACACACACACACACGTACTGGGCTGGGCACTTTTAGGAAAACATTAGACCATGGCTCATCTTGTTCACACTAGTGACCAAAAACACACGACGTGCAGACACACACACACGCACACACACACACGCAGACACATAATAACGCCATCTTTGTTTTTGTATTTTTTTTAAATATAACATTAAATATAGGTTGAAATCACAATGATGCCACAGTCCTAAACAACTATTTTTAAATCGTAAACTTGACTGGGGTAAACTTGTAGGTGAGGTTTGGGGGCGGAGCGATAGCCTGTCAGATTAGCATAGCGACATCTATCTGTCTATTCAGAGTCGACTTTCTCCAGCCAATCAGGACAAGACGTAATAATGAATAAAAACTGGACAAAATTAAACATGTCCATCAGTAGAGCTCTTACTTCTGTCTAGACAAGGGGACTTAAACTCCCGGCCCGCGGGCCACCTCTGACCTCCAGACCTCTGACCTCTGGGTCACACGAGATCAACTGTCAATAATAACCCAGCTGAGCTGTTGAATTATTTTTACATGTTTTTGTTGCTGCATAAAGAAAAAAAAGCAGAAATTGGGATTTTTGAAACTTTTGCACTGACTACCAAAAAAGGCTAATTAATTATTAGCAGGAGTGCTAACATGTCTTTGGCAGCGAAGACAGTGGCAACTTGTTTTCTTACTTCACTAATGCTGCTTTGATACGCAACGCTAATAGAAACAAAGGCTAAAACAAATATATTTGTTTTAGCAATACTCGATAGTGAGCTAATGGTGGCAGTAGTGGTCCCCCAGCTCATTTGAGTTCAAGACCCCTTGGTCTACATGTGTCTACAATGATGTCTAATGTTCTCAGTTATTTCCTGCCAAGTGGAGTGATCTTAGTGTAATCGTCAGTGACTCCTACCCAGCTCCTAACCTCTCCTCGTTGATCTGCTTCTTCAGTCAAACTGCTTGAGTGAAAGAAAATGAAGTCATTTTTCAAAAAAAAAATCAATTTTTAGTGGAGTGATCTTAGTGTAATCGTCAGTGACTCCTACCCAGCTCCTAACCTCTCCTCGTTGATCTGCTTCTTCAGTCAAACTGAGTGAAAAAAAATGAAGTCATTTTTCAAAAACAAACAAAACAAAAAAAATCAAAATGTTTTTTCTATTTCTTGCTCAAATGCCTTCACATATTAAAAAATGTTTTTCCCACTCGCCGTCGTTGATAACTCCGATCCGCTCAGGGCCGACACGGTGGTTCCCTGATGCTGCATTAAAAGAGCAAATAGCAGCATCACAGCTCATCAGTTCTGCTCATAAAGCACAGAGCTGGTATTTTTAGCTGCCGGCTGCACTCCGCGGATGCTGGTGGGGCGAGGGAGGGTGGGCGGGGGTGAGGGGGCCGTGAATATTGACCCTGTCCTCCTGAGCCTCATTGACGCTCAGAAAAACGTCTTTAACCATCATTTGGCCGTCTCACTGTACAGTAACTCTTCTGGGTGTATTTTTTTTTCTCACTTCCTGTTTCAGCTCCATGATGATGTTTCTCCACTGATTCCTATTTTTACAGTCACATTTCAGATGCACGAATTGAAAATGAACAAGTTTGTTTTAGAGGAAAAGCAAATTTTTTACTGAATGTCAAAAAAAGTAATGAGTCAAAAAGTTCTCAGACAGATGAGTTTGATGAAGTTTAAACAATCTGTCTTTGTCTTGTGTTTCCTATCAATGCGTTACATTTCATATAAATCTTATTGGTGATAAAATGATCAATCTAGAAGGAATTATTTTTAAATCAACCATCAGACATAAACATCATTTTTAACCAGATAAATTAAATGTAAATCTGGTTAAAAAAAAGGGATGTAGCTTTTTTTCTATTTAAAAAAAACAAATATATTTTCCAACTTGTATCAGAATACCTGTGTATTCCAAGGTAAAACAATCAATAAATAAATCATCTAAACCTCAAACTAGTTCCGAGTGATGACCCTTAGTTATCACTAAAAAAAAAAAAAATTCAAATGTAGTCGTCCTCTGAACTGATGGATTTCTTATGTCATCTGTGAACTCACACTCAGTCACTCAGTCACTTCATGTGACTCAGTCTTGTTCCATTACGTTTGTCATGTTGTCATGGGCTACTCAACTGGGCTTCACTGGACATACAGTGGGTATTATATCCTCAAGAGACCCCCCCCCCTTCCTGAGTACACACTCAAATCATGAGTCATTAAAACGCTCTTGTTGATTATTCTACTTTACTTACTTAATATTTGTTATTTATTATTTTATTTTATTGAAGAAAAAGTTGAACCCTGGGGTTCCACACCAATGACAGAGACATTGCCTCTGGGCCAAAGCGCCACTACTTAATATTTGTTATTTATTATTTTATTGAAGAAAAAGTTAGTGCAGTCTGACAGTCTTAATCCTGTTTGTTTATAAACTCACACAGCAGCAGCAGCATTAGCAGCATTAGCAGTAACAGCAGCAGCATTAGCAGCTGTACAAACCACATTATTCAGGCTGATTTAATTGTAAACAACAGAGCACAGTGACGCCCCCACTGGTGGTCCATCACTGTGTGGAATCAACAGATAACAGTGGGTTTATCTCAGTCAAACTCCTGCCACAGTCAGACCAACAGAGAGAGAGAGAGAGTGTGTGTGTGTGTGTGTGTGTGTGTGTGTGGTGTAATCTGAGAAGTTAATATTATTGATTCCTGGGGAAACATGATCATCCAGAAATACTGTTTGATTCCAGTAAACGGTGAAGGAGATAAGAAGTTGGCTTGGCCGTCATGTTCAACGTCTCCCTCATGGGGGCGTGCAGGTGACTTCATATAGTTGCAAATTCCTGCGTAGCTTAGCAACCGACAAGAAGTTGCGCCAGAACATAAATAGTTTTAACATGTTCACCCCACATAAAACCAAAGCTCTGGTTTCAAACATACTGTATAATCACACTAAAGTGAAGAAACGTGTAGCGGCTAACGCTAACGTCCACACAGCAGGAAAATCACAGGAACAAACTGCAGGAAATCCACTTAACTCGGGTCAGGTGACGTAAAAAGAGTAAGGAACAGAAATATGAGGTTTAGAGGGTCAAGTTAGGTCAAGTTAGACAGTCTTGAAAACTTGCAGTTATTGATTGTAAAACTGAGCCACTGTAGATTAAAAAAAAAATCCCAGAGCATAACAACAACGTCACAAATATATGTAATGAAATATATTGATCTTCGAGAGTCAATTTACTCACAATTTACTGGAACTGTTGAGTAGAACACAACACGGAGTATATGTAATGAAATATATTGATCTTCTAGAGTCAATTTACTCACAATTTACTGGGACTGTTGAGTAGAACACAACACGGATGTACTCTCAGGAATTGAAGACGCACATGAAGTTCTGAGGCTCTTTCCTTTGTCAGTTTTGTAACCGTCTGCTGCCACCTAGTGGATGAGTATTTAGTTGTTATACCTGCCACGGTTGCACAGACTAACAAAGCCACGTTACTTGCAGGAAATAAATCAGAATACTTGTGCACAGCCCACCTGATGATCTCTCACGTCACATTAATGAGGCCGCGGCACAGTGGTTGGGAATCATTTTGTAAAAAAAAAAGAGAAAGAAATTAAATTACAGTATAATAAGTTGTATTTCTCAGTTGATCTGTTCATTGACCAGTGTATAAAAAATGTGACTCACATTGAACCGTGTCTGTGTGTCAGCTCACTATGATGAAGAAGTAATCACTTCCTGTGAAAAACAGGAGCGCCAAGGACTAAGTTATGCCGAGTTAATTGGGCCGAGAGTGGAATTGTGGGAGTGTTATGTCACCAGAAAGCACTGATTAGCACAGACCGAAGCACAAGTTGGACGCAGCACCCAGAAGGCCGTGCCACGGAGCCCATGAGTCGATGCTGGGAATCCTGCGAGGCCAATTAACACCCGGCTGCTCCCTGTGCTGCTGAACATTAAATATTGATTCCTCCATCACGGTGCACATTAATTTGTGTCTTTGGGGAGTTTTTTTTATTCTATTTATTTTTTAATCTTTTTATTACCTCCTCTCTCTCCCTCCCTCTCTCTTGTCAGTGCCTCCTGTTCATGAGTTAAATCAAAAGAACAGTTTCTGCTCCTGGCAGTGATCATGAGACAGATGACAGGCAGGATCCAGGCGTCATGGAAGGACCATAATGATGATGATGGAAAATTACATTATAAAGTTTAATAATCAGATTACTTTCTGTTTCAGTCCTCATTACAGCAGCAGACACTGAACTACACATGGACTTAATCACTGGCTTTAAAAAGTTATTGATATGGACAATAAAACACACAAAGTACACAGAAAAGCAAGTTTTCTTTCTTCTTTTCTTTTCCCCGATATCAAACATTTATTACTGTGGTAAAATTCCAGAAACTTCCTCTAAGAAGCTAACAAATACTGGGATTATTTTGAAGTCATATCCAAACATTGATCTATTTATAGGTAAATAATAATAATAATAATTTTGGGACAAACGTTAGTGTTTTATATCGCTATTTTTACCTGATTTATGTTTATAAATTCCCATCTGAAGTTTCCAGCTTTGAAAGTTCCAGAAATGTACAAGCCTTTATCTGAGTTCCTGTCAATCAGGTTATTAAATAAAACGAAGGTTTAGTAAGTTGTGTTTTTAAATTTTGACATATTTGTTGAAAAAAACAAACAAAAACTTGCTGCGTTCAGACAAACGCTTCCAGAGACATGAAAAATGTGCTCAAACCAAACACTCATTACCTCACCTGTTGTCAACGGCTTTCTGGTTCGTCATTTTGCAATATTACCACCTAGTGGCCATAGTCCGAAAATGCACGCACTTACTTACAAATGCACGCAGAAGAGGAAGCGGAAGTGAAGCAGCGTCAGGTTTTATTTCAAAATGTACTTTCACACTGTAGGTGACGTGGAAATTACAGCGGACGTCAACAAGAGGGAAAACATTTTTTTACACAGAACTGTTCACATTTACAGACAAACTTTCAAATATGATACAATTACGACGCGTTCACTGCGATCACGAACCGGAAATACGTACAGCTCACTGGAATAATGACTTCAGTTTTCAAGAAAGCGTCACGTGACCGAAGAGATTTAGATGAACGTTGATATTTCAGTGCAAATATTTTAGTGTTAGTGACTTTTTCTAATAAAAATCACAGAGAAATATCTGCAACATCCTACACTGATAAAAAAACAATTAAAAATTATATTTTTCTGACAAAATAGTCACTCCGTCATTTTAAAGGATTGATAACAGGCACTGATAACACACGTGACAGTCAAGCTAGCCAATCAGACGTCCAGGCTGAATGGACGCAACAATCGGACTCATAAGGAAGACGCAAAAATAATACAGAAGATACAAAATAAATATATGTTTTCCAGACAGCAGGTTCAGAGCACAGCATCACGTTTGTTTTTCTCAAACATACTACGTTTTTTCTTACGGATCTGACGTCACACAAACTCGCACGGTTGAGGAACAGGTGCGTGAAATGTTCCTACGTCGTGGTTCACAAGGTGCTTTGTTAGAACGTCGTTCTAATTCACATTACTGTGAGTCCAAACAGCCTCTCGTCACAGTCCAACTAGGTAAATAAATAAATAACTCTTATTGGTGATAAAATGATCAAATTTTGTGAAAAAGACATAGCAGCTAATATTCCTGAATTTATTTAGACTTTTTTTTTTTTTTTTTTTTACTTCATTGTGTGCTGTATTCTTGGAAATTTGTGGCTAATACACTTTTTTTTGTATTATTTAGGGTTGACTGTGAGCACACAGTCAACGTGGATGAAAAGCTGAAGGACTCGTTTTGGCAGTAAACGCTGAAGGAGGAAACAGTACCAGTGCTTATTTGGTACTAGGCTACAGCGAACAGACGTTTAAGGAAAATGTGAAAAGGAAAGACAGGAAGGTTCAACACATCGTGACCTACAGCTCCCCCTACTGGACAGAAGTCAGTTATTTTTGTCCTGATATAAGTCCAGAAAAGGAATGTTGAAGCAGGAGGAGGAGGAGAGAGATTCTTGGATTTAATCTGTGTTTTTTTCATAGGTTCTGTCGTCTGTGGACGTTCACTGCACGTGACCTTCTGTTGATCCAACTTCACCTCAGACCAGGCTGTAAATCAGCCAGAGTCAGGTTCCCGGTGCTATTCCCACTCTAGGCTCCCAGACACACAGATCACCAAAATGGCTCCGATTGGTCATAGCCCAGGAAGCAGCCCGGCCCACGTGGTGTTCATCACCAAACCATCAGTGGACTCCATCCTCCAGGGATCCTTTAACTTCCCAGATTTTCACTGTGCGGTCACTGTCACAACGCAACAGAAGAAGAAGAAGAAGACGTCACATTTAAACGTAAACAGTTTGGTTTGTTTGTCAGTCGTGCAGCTCAGTGTCACGTCCAACGGACGACTCACTCTGAGGCAGTGAAGACTTGGCTGCCATTAACTGCCAGGCCGTTGATGGGACTGTCGTGACCTCGCACCTCGCCCAGCGGCGCGAGCGAGTCCGTGTTCCACAGTCGCAGCAGTCCACCTCTGCAACCGCTGAGCAGCACCGGAGAACCGGGGACTACTCCAAGAGCACTGACCCAGTCGGTCTGAGCGCTGGCTGACTGCTGAGGAAACAGGCCGACCATCGGACAAAGGTCAAAGGTCAAAGGAAAACCTGGACTTTTCTACAAGAGTTCAAGGGTTGTTTTTTATAGGGCTGTCAATCAATTAATCATGATTAATCCTGGTAAATGATTAATCATGATTACTCTCGATTCATTGTGGACAATGATTACTCAATACATCATTACTGGTCAATTTAATGTTGATGATTAATCGATTAATTGTGATTAATCATGGTTAATGGTTAATCATGATTAACCTTGATTAATCATTAACCATGATAAATCCTGCTTTTGTGGTTAATCATTAACTGGTTCATCATAATAAACTGACTTTATGGTTAATCAATCAATTGTGATTAATCATGGTTAATGATTAATCGTGATTAATTTTCATAATAAACTGACTTTATGGTTAATCGATCAATTGTGATTAATCATGAGTAATGATTAATCATGATGAATCAACATCATAATTATGTACAAATGTAATGTGTTCATTGCTGGTACAGAATAAAATAACACATTTCAGCCGGTAGGTGTCAGTGTTTCTCACTCGTTACTAATCCAAATGACTTAATTATTAATATGGAAAAACATCGAGAAAGATTCGGAGTCTACCTGTAGCAGCCGTTTACTGGCCAAATCCCACTTCTTGATGTGGTAATCTCTGGAGCCGCTGAACAGGACGTCTCCGTACACGGTCAGAGACTCCACGCCGTCCTGGTGAGACGGCTCGAAGCTGTGGCTGGAGGTGACGCTGCCCTGAGCTCCTTCTGCAATCACAAACATCTGGAAGAAAAAAAAAAAGTCATGTGCCGCGGTTAACATCATACAGTTGATGGTAAAAATCTGTTGGTAAATAAAAGAAAATCACACATGTCTCACTTTAATGTGTCGGTCCTTGGAGCCGGTGAGAACCACGTCCTGTCCGTGTCCTAACTTGTCCACGGTCAGACACATGACAGGTCCGGAGTGACCCGTCAGTTTCCCCGTGGAGGCGAATCTGAAGACGAGACAAGATTGTTCTCCTCTGTTCTTATTGGCTAAGCAGACGAAAGAGCAAGCGTCGCTGTTCGTTGTTCGGACTTACTTGCGGAGGTCCCACATACGGACGGAATTACCGGCAGCAGCGTAGAGGAAGGAGCCGCTGGGATTGAGGCAGATCTGGTTGATCTGGCTCTCCCCTGGGGGGATGGACAAACTCCTGGAGGAGGAACACGTGTCGCCCGAACCCACCTGACCTGATGACCTGCAGCCCACAGTCAATGCACAACATTAACTGTATAATAATGAATCTTATTGTTTAATGCTCTTTCACTGAACTCACGTTAGCGTCCGTATGCACTTGGCCGAGTCTCTGATGTCCCAGACTTTGATGTAGGCTGTGGACACGGTGAAGACCAGACTGGACGTGTACCTGTGTGGACAACACCAACACAGAGACAACGGAGAAAGTAAAAAAAAGAAGAAAAAAAAAGGAATCATGTTGATGTCAAACTCAAGGCCCGCAGGCCTCACATGGCCCGCCACATCATTTTATGCGGACCACCACAGCTCCACCTCCAGGGTCTGTAGTATAGACTGTGTTAATCCTGTTTGGACCCCAATCTGGACACCCACCCTGGGTGGACACTGTTACCTGACTGAAACAACACTGCTGGGGTGATCTGCCAAGGACATGATCTCCTGACCCGTCACCAGGTTCCACACTTTACATGTACGGTCTGAAAAAAAAAAAAAAAAAAAAAAAGAGGCAAAAACACATGAGACGACTGATCTTTCACTGCATTTAGGAACAAATAATTTTTTTTTTTTTTTTGGCTGGTAAAATGTCTCTCGACCTTTGGAGCCGGTGAAGAGCAGGTCATCAGTTGCGTCCACACACAGGACCGGTTTGGTGTGTCCCTCAGCCACGTAGACACACAAGAGTTTGGAGCCGCGGTGGCTCCTGGGGGTCGTCACGGGGTTGATGACGCCTCTGATAACACACACACACAGAGATAATGCAGTTGATTACTGAACAGAGATAATACAGTTGATTACTGTGTTGAGTTGGAGTAGAAAAGAAATCATGTTTCATTTGTGGGTTAGGTTTGTACCGGTGTCCTTCAAAAACAGGAGACTCCTCCAGTAACCTGGAAAATCAACAACATGGAAAATCAGGAATTCAGTGACACAATACATAAATATTATATATTTTATATTCTTTGACTGCTCCAAGATTTTTTTTTAAGTCATTTTTTTATATATCCTACATTTGGTCTAATTCCTGATTAGACCTGGAACAGGTTCCTGGGTCTGGAGTTTTGTCAAGGGACTGAAATCCTATTCCTGTCCTGACGTTCTTCCAGTTTAGGGAAAGTCAAAAATATCAGATAAGTTTCTAAAATGTGACCTCTGCTCCAGTTGGACTCACGGTGGTTTGTAGTCGCTGCCTTTCATTTTGGAATCCGCCGTGACGTTCGGCGGCGCCACTCCGGCGGCTCCTTTGTCTCCTGTTTTCCGTCGGTTGAGGGGAGAGCGCTCCCCCCCTCTCCTCTCTGTCCCTGTGGGAGACCTGCGCCCAGGTCTGTGGCCAAACGACACGCTGTTATAAAGATGAGTTTTAAAAACCACGTGTTGGATTAAATGACGGACGGATGTCTTACATTCCCGTCCCCCTGGTGGTCAGTGTAGATGTCGTCTGCTCACGGTCGGGGGTTTTTACGGTCACGTGACCATGGATGTCAGCCGGGGCTTCTATGGGGGGGGGGCGGGGGGGGGGGGGGAGAAGTCCGCGGGGGGGGAGTCGTGGCTGGGATCTCCGCTGCTAGCATACAGCAGCTCCATCTGTGTGGTGGTCCGCCTGCGGGCCTGAGGGACAGGGACACCGAGGGTTAACCATCAGCTGACTGACACTGAAGACAGCAGTAAATAAACGTGTGCTGCTTGAAGATGATCCAGCAGGGGGCGTGGGCGAGATACCTTGTTTCTGGGTCTGGATTCGCCGCATAACTTCATCAGATCTGAGGCCAGCGTGCTGAAACAGGAAACAGAACGGTTCTCTACACGTGACACCGAGGTGTGTGTTCTTTTTACAGATGATGATAACGGTCACACGCCGACAGTACATGAGACCGGGCCGCGTTTTTTTACCTGCCCTCTGTGGCTGGACTGGCTGCCGACTCGTCGCTGCTGCTGTCGTCTCCTCCGTTTTCTGCATATGAGAATAAAAAAAAAAAATTAATTTAAGGAGAGAAAAAAGAAAGACAAAAGTATTTTTTGATTAAAGAGTGAATCATCAGGTCAGAGCTACGCATGGCAGTATTTGTGGCCTGTAGAGGGAGCCAGAGAGCAAACGTCTTTTACAGGTCTACACAGAGGAACTTCTACTGAACTACACAGTACTGTATTCCTATGAGTAATAACAAGAAATATCCAGATGAACTAGACTTTTAAATATGACATATTTTTTTATAATTTTCCAACATAAAACAACACAAACTACGATTTTATTTTATTTTTATTTTCAGGTGTCGGTATCAAACCCTGCCTTTGTCGTTTTTGTGCCTTTTGTTTCTCATTTCTGTAAACTTAAAAGTTTGGGTGTCGGGTGTCAAACACCTGGTCCTCGGGCCACTTCAGGCCCACAGCGTCCCACATTTGGCCCGCACTGCATGTTGATAACACTGTAGTTCTTTTACTGAGATGTTGTGGCTTAGCAGAGTATTTTAAATATTATTTCAGTAACGTAAACATAAACGTAATTTAACACTGACCAGAGACCAGACCACACAACAGCACCACCACATGGACAACACCAGAAGCTCATCATCTTTAACCTGATTTAATGGTGGATGGACACGACAAACACACAGTAAAGTCATTGGTCATGATAAAAGCTTTAGTTCATCAAATGTTTTGCCGTGTACATGCACCACGTGGGCTCTAACCAACTACGTGGACACTCATGTGCCCCCCCCACACTGACTCCCCCACTCACCTGGTAACAGGAAACCTAACTCTGAGCTCACGACAAAAGAAAAAGTAAAAAAATCAAATCAAAAGAAAAGTCAAGTCAAAAATGTTTGTTTTTACTTCGCTGGCATGGAGTATTATTTTGGAGCAGTGGTTCCCAAAGTGGGGGTTGGGCCCCAAGTAGGGTACACACAGCACGATTGCTGGCAGCATGCAGCAAGCCGAAATAACTTAAATTTCCATATTTTGTAATTTGCATTAAAACCAGAACAGTTTGTCTAAATATGTGTTATTTTTAATTGACAACAGGGGGCGCTGTGGAAAAAAATTTGGGAACCACTGTTTTAGATGGAGTCTAAAACTGATTGGTGTGGGGTAAAAAAAAAAGGTCGTACCCTGCAGGGCGCTGCCCAGCAGAGCGTCCAGCTCCGGGTTGATCTCAGCTTTCTCCTTCAGCATGTGGAACAGCAGCTGGTTCTGGGTGGCGCTGTTGATCTCCGTCTGCTTCAACCTGCCCTCCATCACCTTCAGCTGAGAGTCCTTCTGAGCAGCCTGCAGACCCTGACCCCAACACACACACACACACACAGCAGGTGGTCACTACAGCAGCAGCAGCAGTGACGCACAGTTCTCCAAGTTTATCTCACATCATTTGATTACTGCCCTTCTCTCATTTTTTCCCCCTCTCCCCTGCCCCCACCCCCCCCCCCCGTGTGGGCAGCACATTTCCTCAGGCGACTTAATGAGGTTTCATCAAATTTCATGTCATCATATCTAACTGAAAACTAATCGAAAACAGTCGTTCGGTTTCAGTGATGTCAATCAATTCAATCTGACAAATGAGCCGTGAATCTGAGGAACAGATGATGTAAACATCAGTACCAGACAGTACCAGACAGTACCAATAATATGTTGCTGTATAGAATGTGTGCCGACAAACACAACATAAATAAGACTAAAAACAAATCCCTAATGTTATATATTTTTTTATATTTGATATGAAAATGTTATGATTCATTTTATGTTTTTTTAAAGTATTTTTTATGTTATTATGAAGCTCGCTGTTCAAACTTGTTTGAATAAAAATCTATGTTTGTTCTCATCACATCATCATCATCATCATGAATGTTTATTTAGTCTGATTAATAACGTGACAAAGTAACAAAGAGTCAGGAACCTTATTGATGGCCATCGTCATGAAGTGGTCCAGAAGAAAACGAGACTCAGACAGGTTACAGGAGCTGACCACAGCCGCAACATCCACCGTGTCTCCTTCCTCCTGTACAATATATATACACATATATATTCACACACACATATATACATATATATCACATATATAATGTTATGGTGGTGAGAATTTGATTTTAGTTTTTTTTCTTCTCTTTTTTAAGACAATATATACATATATATGCATATATATGCATATATACGTATATTCAGGAAATATACATTTATATATGTATATATATGTGTATGTATATTTTTATATACACACATATATACATATGTACATACTGTATATAAGAAAAACAGAACTGTTTTTAATGTATGTGGGCTGCTGCAGGTCATATACGTTATAAATATATAATAAAAAATTTCTGAAATACGGCAGTGTGACCTCTTGAGGACGATTGTAGTTATGACATGATGTTGTATTACTTTAAGGTTAACACAATAGCAGGTTTAGTAAAGTCAAACGATTGATAAATCCAAAATAAACGATCAAATCCAACACTATTTTTTTTTAGGATTTGATTTTTCTCTGGGTAATAAACCCGTCACCCACTCCCTGGCGTCTGCACTGACACACACAGCTGTCAGATCATTTCACCCTCCGTCACCTTGGCCTCCTCCATCTGCATGATGTTGGCCTGGCAGTCAGCGATGCTGTCGTTGATGTAGTCGATGTTAGCGCTCAGAGACTCCAGCTCCTCGTTCAGGGAGGACAGGGAACGGTCGGCGTCTGCACCGTCCACCGCCATCTTCTCTCTCTTTCGGGACACGCGCTCCCTTCGCCTGGTCAGGTCCTCGCGTTGCTGTGATGGTGACGGAGAAAGGAGAAAAAGGAGGAGAAAAAGAGTCATTTTGATAGAAAAAAAAAACCCAAAAAGATTTCTTTTTTTTTTTAAATGGTACCAACCTTCAGTAGTCGGTTCATGTCCATCTCCATGTTGGAAATGGTCATCCTCTGCATGATGATGTCACTGACCCGTCGCTCCAGTGACTGCCACTTGGCTCTGGCTGTCCTGTTGAGGTAGGTACTTCCCATGCGCACGGGGGAGCTCCTGAGGAGGGCGGAGGGGCGAGAGGTGAAACACTTCAAGATTTAATTCTCAATAAAACACACACTTTTGTTTTTTTTTTTTTTTTTACAGAGTCAAACATCAGACCTGGCTCCGTTAGACACAGACGATCCAGACGTCTGAGGTCTCCCCGCTGGAGTCCGATGAGACGGTTCCTGGACCGGCTCAGGTACGGACACCTTCCTGTTCACCTTCCCAGACGAGGGCCTCACCTGCCGCCTGAGTGCCGTCACCTGATGCAGGTAATTAAGAGGATAGTAATTTAAAAAAAAAGAGAGAAACTAAATTCCAAACCGTGCATGTGTGACTTTGAACGTCTCACCTCTTCATTCTTCCGGCGGAGGATCAACTCCTGTTGTCTCTTCTGGGCCTCCATCTGCCTCAGCTGGTGCTGGATTAACCAAAAAAAAAAAACAACATTTCAAAGAGAGCACAGTGTTGACATTTAAACATCCAATAATATTTTATCATTTCTTAAATTTAAACACGTTCTCTGGATGATTTCGGTGCTGCTTCACCTCAGCTCGGCGCTGGTCCTTCTTCAGAGAAGCGATCTCCCTGTTTCTCCTGCTCTCTATCGCCCTCGTCCTCTCCTGCTGCTCCTTCATCTGACGCATCAGTGACACCTGGTGTAGGAACAGAGCATTGCATGAAGATAAAAACTGTGATTCGTTCATCTTTTATCACTGAATTCTCTCCAGTGGAGCCCGTGGAGCTGACGCCACCTCCAGCACCATGGACAGCTCACCTTGGTCTTCTTCATCTCGACCACATCCTGCTGGAGTTTTCTCAGCTGTTTCTCGTACTGTGATTGGTTCCTCAGCAGGCGGGCGTGCTCCTTCTGAGCCGACTGAAGTTTCTGCAGCTCTTTGTTCATGGAGCTCAGCTTCTTCTCATACTCCACTTTGATCCTCTTGGCCTTTTCCTCCGTACCCGACTCCACAGAACCTAAAAAAAAAAATCTGTTTAATCAAGTATTAGCGACCAGAGCTGATACCCGACTCCACAGAACCTAAAAAAAATCTGTTTTATCAAGTATTTGAGTCCAGAGCTGAGACTGTCTCTGTTGCATGTCTTTACCCATGTTGTGCAGAACCTTGTCCCTCTCCAGCTGTGTGTCTCTGATCTTGTTCTGCAGCATCATCAGCTTCTGTTCGTACTGCTGCTTCAGCGTGTGCAGACGCCGCTGGCTGTTCTCCAGCTCGTCTATGAGCTTCTGTTTGATCGCGATCTCGCAGGTGATGTTGGCCAGGTCTGCCTGGACGTTTTCTGCACACGTTGATGAAGAAAGGAAAAAAAATAATCATTTGGCTGTGGATTTTTCTAAGATAAATAACAGGAAGTTTAAACTAACTCCTTACCTTTCTCATCCAGCTCCTCAGAGTCTGAGTCCTCAGACGTCTCGTCTGCTGCCCCCTCAGAATCCCCCTCCTCATCAGCATCCTCACCTTCCTCGTGCTCGCTGCCGTCCTGGTGACACACAGGTCAGAAGACAATAAAATAAAATAAAAAACACCCCAAAACACGTGGAAACCTCAAATTAATTTTGAAGTTACTCACTGCCTCTGGCTCCTCGTTCCCTCGCTCCTGCTCATTGTCCGGGACTTCCTCTTTGACGACACTGAAGAGGAAAGATGAATTACCCAGTGACCAGCAGAGGGAGACATTTGACACACTGTTGATCAGATGTGGAATTTTGTTTTTCTTTTTTTTTTTAATTTAAACTCATGACATGCAAATGATTACATCATTCGCTGAATAAGAAGCAGGTTTAAAACCGAGGTTGTAAAAAGGAAATTATAAATGATTGTGATTGATGATTAAATAACAGAGGAATCAGTGTGAAAGAGGCTGCAACACACACTACACAGACAACTGGACCAACATTTTTCATGTTTGTTGTCTGATCAGTGTGCAGTACAGAGAAGAGGAAGAAGAGGAAACAGAAGGTTAGTCGTCTGCTCTCCTCCAGGATCAGATCAGCTGTTGGTGCAGACAGTTAGAGGTTAGTTGGTTTAGGGAGAAGACGAAGCTGAAGTCCTTTTAGTTTGTAACGGCCGGGGCCGAAAGAGCTGTGAACAGAACTGGTCTCAGACTGGGTTATTAGAGCCGATCCTCTCCACTGGTATCAGACCTGACAGGTTCAACCTCCTCATGGTGACACTGCTGCTGATGCTGCTGCTGCTGATGCTGCTGATGCAGATGCTGCTGATGTTGCTCTTGCAATCGTCTCAGCCTTTAGGGGGAGGAAGGAGTGGAGACGGGGTGAGGAGGAGCGGGTGTGGAGGCGAAAAAGGGAGAAGACGGGTGAAGACGTGGGAAGAGCGCGGCCGTGGAATACGAAGGCAGTGAGGGAGTATTAGAAGGTAGGAGAAAATGAAGAAGATGCTGAGTGCAAAGACAAAATGCACTGTGTTCAAATGTACAAAGGTTGAAAGTCAAGAATGACGAGCAAAACCATAATCCAGTGGTTCCCAAAGTGGGGGGCGGGCCCCCTCCTCAGACCTGCAGAATTATTGCAGTGGAGTCGTGGTTCCCAAAGTGGGGGACGGGCCCCCCTCAGACCTGCAGAGTTATTGCAGTGGAGTCATACTAGGTTTACATTTTATTGTTAATATTTTATGACTTGTGCCACAGTGGGAAATTAATTTGCCTTACTGCACCACCTCATCCCCTAGGAGGGACCTGCCCTCCACTTTGGGAACCACTGGATCAGTCATCCTTAATGGACTGATTGTTGCAGCTCCTCTGCTGTAACTATCAAATATGGCATCATCTCAGTACTGGAAACATCATCAGTTTGACTGACAGGCTCACTGACAGCGCCCACTAGGAGGCGCCCATCCCACACTTTGGGTATCACTGATAATGATAACGCTGAATTAAAATGTACATTACTTTGGTTCACTATATTATTAATGAATTAATTAACTGTTTTTATGGTGAAATAAATGCTAATTTTATGCTAATTTCTCATTCCCAAAGTCAAATGTTTTCTTTAAAAACATTATTAAAAACATCGGTCTGTCTTTATAGCAAACAGTGGGAAATTAATTTGCCTTACTGCACCACCTCATCCCCTAGGAGGGACCTGCCCTCCACTTTGGGAACCACTGGATCAGTCATCCTTAATGGACTGATTGTTGCAGCTCCTCTGCTGTAACTATCAAATATGGCATCATCTCAGTACTGGAAACATCATCAGTTTGACTGACAGGCTCACTGACAGCGCCCACTAGGAGGCGCCCATCCCACACTTTGGGTATCACTGATAATGATAACGCTGAATTAAAATGTACATTACTTTGGTTCACTATATTATTAATGAATTAATTAACTTTTTTATGGTGAAATAAATGCTGATTTTATGCTAATTTCTCATTCCCAAAGTCAAATGTTTTCTTTAAAAACATTATTAAAAACATCGTTCTGTCTTTATAGCAAACCTCTTCTTCTTCTTCCTCTCCTTCTTCTTCAGTTTCTCCAGGTCCTTCTTCGCCATCATGATGACATCAGTGGCCTCATTCGGAGGGCCAATCAGAGGGGAAGAGAAAGAGCCGGCGCCTCCGTAGAGCGAGGTTCGAGTGGAGGCTCGAGAGAGGTTCCTCCGGAGGTTCTCGTTCACCGCCTCGCTTTCCAGGAGTTTAGCTCTGCAGGAGGTGAAGAAGAAGGAGGTTTTTTTAATTTAACGGGAAACACAGAAAATTAAAACTTAAAATATAAGTATAAATATAAAATATTTAAAAAATATATGTATATATATATAAAATGAAATCAAACCTGAGCTCCTCGATTTCTTTGATGTAATTCTGAATCATGTTTCCAATTTCTTCACTCCCTTCACCTGTCGACAGAAATAGATGTTGAATTTTATAACTTTTGTTATTAGCATCACTGAAGTCATGGCTAATATATACTGTATATATACTATATATGTATGAATATTAATATATAGCATGGATTTGATGGTTCAATACCGATACCAATATAGTTCTGGTAATATTTATTTATTCATCTGTACAAACCACTGGGCGAGTATGAGATTAATTAAATGAGCTGCAATGCTGCCATCTAGTGACTTTCACTTTAATATACAGCTGTTTATCGTCAAAACTATTTTTAGGGCACACATCATTTGGTGAAACCCAAGCATTGCGTTGACTGGTGTTTATTACCGGAGGAAAAATGTATAGAGTTTCTTACAGATATTACATAATATGCTAATATCGGGCCGATAAAATCAGTTGGCAGATATTATCAGACATCCCTACATTTTAGCTGTTTTCACTTTTAAAAAAAAAAAAAATCTTTTTTTGTCCATACGATTGTTTACTACCATTGAGAAAACATTGTTTCTCACCTGCTCTGACCAGGGCCTGGTTGGCCTGGTCACTGAGGATCTGTGTCAGTCGCACCCTCTGAGCGTCGATGGTCTCCTGCATGGCCTTCACTCTCACCCTCAGGTTGTTGTTCTCCGTCTGCAGCATTGAGTTCTCGTGGACCAGGTCGTTGACCCCCTCCATCCCGTCCTCGCCCACCATTCGCTTTCCCTGGAATCCATCAAAGGGACAAATTCACGACACGGCACCTGATGATGGCGGTCTTGTGCGCCCCCTGCAGCTGAGGTTCTTCTCACCGTCTTGTACTCCATCAGCTCCATCTGCAGACGAGCCATCTCCGTCCTCAGAGCGCTGATCTGCTGGCTGGCCCGGTCCTGGTTCACGATCACCTTGTTCTTGATGTTCCTGGCTCTGTTGGCGTACTTCAGCGTGTTCAAGGTCTCCATGAAGTCACGGTCTGACGGGCTGATGCAGGCGATCATCACGGTTTGACTGCAGGACACGGACACAGGAGAGAGTGGTCGGTTAGTCGTAACAGACGTTCACAGACCGGAATATTAATGACTATAGTGAGAGCGTGGCTCGGACCTGTTGCCACCCAGGGAGTCCTGCAGCAGCCGAGTCAGCTTAGAGTCTCGGTAAGGCACATGCGAGGAGCGTTTGCTCCTGTCTCCCAGAGCACTGATGACATTCCCGAGAGCGAGCTGTGGACAAGAAACACAGAGTTGAGTCATCGTTTATAGAAACAGAACAGAAAAAAAAGAGTCATCGTTTATAGAAACAGAACAGACAAAAAAAACCAACAATCGGTCTCATTTGGGGACCTACTCCTTCACATTTTCACATCAAATGTGAGATGTGTAATTCACACTATGGCCATATGGGGCGCTGTGCTACTTCAGAAAATTAAGAACACTCACCAGGCCACAGTTGATGGAGATGCCCTCTTTGGCTCGCTCTCCCGTGGCTCCGGTTCTTTTCAGCCTCTCCGACCCTGCCAGGTCCACAAAGTGAAACTTGGCCGACAGCGTCTCGAACTCGTTCAGCTCCGAGTTGTTCGCTAACCGGTTGTCTGTCACGTTCTCCTGTCAGAGAGGAAAAAAAACAAACAGCAAATGACTTGTACAGCTGAGGATCAGTCAGTCAGCCGGCCGTGACCTCGGGGACATCAGTGCTCACTGACGTTGTTTTCTGGGGAGCAGACCCGGACTTGGCAGAGGTGGATGGTGAAGATGGCGTGGGAGCGAGAGCTCTGCACGTTCATCTGCGTGCTGGCAGTGGTGCGAGAGAGAGCGCCCAGCTTCAGACACTGTATCATCTGTGAGGGGGAAACAAAAAAAAAAGAGGAAAATCAGACAAACATACTTTGTGTGTATGTTTACATTTATATGTCATTATATGTGTCTATGTATGTGTGTCTACATATATGTAGGTTTGTATGTGTGCATCCCTGTCTAAGTGTTTGGTAGATGTTTAATTGTGTTAATATGATGCATATATTTCATGTATGTATTCCATGTATGAACATATATATATACATATATGTGAATATATATATGAATATATATATAAATATAAAAATAAATATATGTAATTATGTTTGCATGTATTTTTGTATTTCTGTACAGTATGTATTTGTATATGTATGTGTGCTTTTATGTATGCATAATTATGTTTATGTATATATGTATCTTTGTATTTATGTATGTATGAATGTATGATTGTGTTCATATGTTTTTGTATGTCAGTTTTTATATGATATATTCTTTTAAAAAAGGAATTTCAAAGAATTTTGATTAATATATATATACACATTATATGTGATGTGTTACTCCTATATATTTCTGCTCATGTTTGTTGGTGAACAGAAACCAAATCCTAACATTGGAAACTGGAAACAGAATAAAACCTTCTCTAAGGAAAACCGACCTCAGCCGCAGAGGTCACGGTGCGGGTCGTGACCCCAACGGTGTAGATGCCTCCGTTGGCGTCTTCGTGGATTTTGATGTTGGACTTGTGCTTCCGCGCTTCGATGTCTCGCGTCGAATCGAACAGGTCCAGCACCTCCTCGTTGTACAGCTGCGGACAGATTACTGCAGGATTAGCCAATAACTGATACAGAATCAATACCGTCTGTCGTCACGTCTGTCGTCACGTCTGTCGTCACGTCTCTGGACTCGTCTTCTCCTCCGCAGCTGCTTCATTATCAGCTGTTGGCAGCCAGGGTTAAAAATAAAGGCCGGAGCAGAGACAGACTAACGACAGTTTAATGACTGCGGGGTCATCTGGACACTTTAACAACCTGAACCCTTCACCTTATGTTGACCTCTGACCCCTGGCTGTCTGCATATTCTACATACATCTAACTAACGGTCCTTAAGTGGCTGTGATGATGTCGACTTAAATCCCATAAATTCAACTCAGTTTCTTTCTGCCGATCTGTGTTGAATTTGTGCGTTTGTGTGTTTTTTGTTTTGTTTTTTTCGCACCTCCAGGAACTGGGCGTTGATCTTGAACTCTGGGACGGGCCGGCCCTGCTCGGTGGCGGCCTGTCTGCGCTCTTCGATCCCTCTGAACAGGTGTGTGACGGCACGGGGAATGATACCCAGCTCTTCTTCTCCGATGTTGACGTCAAAGCCCGTTCCCATGGTGTAGGTCTTCCCTGAACCGGTCTGGACACAGAGAGGGAGAGGGAGAGGGTGAGCGAGAGGGTGAGGGTGAGGCAGAGGGAGAGGGTCACTGCTGACCTTCAGGCACATACCGGTCTGGACACAGAGAGGGAGAGGGTGAGCGAGAGGGTGAGGCAGAGGGAGAGGGTGAGGCAGATTGTGAGGGTCACTTTCATCAACACATTTTTTCATCATTGCTGTCACCGGTGGCATTTAATCTGTGTTTGGTGCTGCTGCTAGGCTGAAGAGGAAAAGAGGGAATGTCAAAAAAAAAAGAAAGACTGGTATCACTGGAGGAGGAGGGAGAAGGAGGGAGGAGGTGAGGCACAGTTTAGGGGGTCGCAGTGGAGGGGCTGTCCTCACCATGGAGACCACACCATGAGAAAACCAGGAATGTAAGACTGGAGCTAATTTAACACATCACATTTCTTCTCCTCGCTGATAAATCTGAGAGAGAACCTGACAGAAGAAGAGCTGATGATGTGTTAGTGAGGAAGGAGTACAACGTACTGTACAGTACGTAAGACTACACACAGAGTACTGAGGTTTTTCTTTGTGAAGTATTTTTTCTTTGTGAGTTTTTACCAAACAACTTCCTGATATAGAAAATAAGTTGGAACAGATACATGTTTCCTGGGCAACAGATCTGGACCACAGGCAGGACGGTCAAACGTTGCACATGCACCTGGTGTCTAATCACTTTACATTTATTAATCTCATATTCAGTACTTTTTATAATACAGCAGGGGGCACCATCTGTCGGAGGGACATTATTGTTCCGGACAGACACCTCAGATTCCCAACACTTTTATGAAATAAAAATCCCAGTTTTGTCCAACGTAATTATTTAATGTTTTATTTTTTTATTCACGGGCCAGATCCCATGTGGGCTGGATTCAGCCCACGGGCCGCCAGTTGATAATAACCATAACAGAGGTTTT